GGAAGTTTGCATTAACTGAAACTTGTTTAAATGAATGAATTTAATTTAAACTGAACTTAAGTTCAAAATTAACTCTGTAAATCTTGTGAGCGGAGAAATTTTATGGGACACTATTGTAGAAATTTATGGGACACTGATGTAAAATAACACTTTCCACACTAATATTTAAAATATATATATATATATGAGAAACAGCTCATTTTGAGTGCGACTAGTGAATTCGCTCACCTTGTAAATGGCAAGGTACATCATACTCCATTTCATCATGGCGTGAAGGGCTCAGGAACAGCGTTCCATCCACTAAAGGGAACTGCTCAAAGATGGGCAGGGTGTGATGGCAGAGGGCACAGTTCACCACATTGCGGTGACTCGCACTGAGTGCAGAGAGGATGAACTTCCTGAGATCCTCTCCCTGCCCGGCCTGGGCATCGTCCTCCATTCGCACATGATAGGTGTTAAGCTTGTGGCGGGGAATGTGCGTGAGCAGCTCAGAAAGATCCAGCCTCCTTAAGAACTGCACAGTGTTGTCTCCAGGAGAAAGCCGAGGGAGGCACATGTTAGCGGCTCCCTGCTCAAGTTGAGCCCCGCCACGTGCCACCCCACCTCCGGACAGCAAATGCTTCCTGTGGCCTTCTGTATGAACCGCGTTCTTAAGAAACTCACCCAGGTGCCTCGAACTCCGCGGGCCACTGAGGGACTGGGGGGAGAAGGAGAAGCCTGAAGGAGGGGACTGAGTGGGGGATTCGCAAGGGGAGCGGAGTCCGTGGGAAACCCCGCCGACGGCATTGGGAGGACCAGTGTGACATCTCTCCTGAGAGTTCTGCCAATCTGCTGATTGTCTGTGAGACAGTTCCTGACTGGAACCACGGTGCGCTAGCTTATGGCTTGCAGATGATTTCCCATTCTTGGGCTCATCGGCAGCTTCCGGACCACCTCCGCCGCAAGCGCCACCTCCAGAGGCAGAACAGCTGGGCTTCCCGCTCCCTTTCTCCGGCAACTTTTTCTTGCGCTCGTCCTGCATGCGTTTCACCTGGTACCAATCCGTGTCTTTTTTCAGGTGTCCCTGGCCACAGCGGCAGGAGCAGAAACGGAAGGCCAAATCGTAGCCCTTTTTGGTCCACATGTTCTGTCGGCACTGCTTCTCGTTCCAGCTGCGGGCCCGGCCGATGCAGTTGAACTGTACCAGGATGCTGCTCTCCCACTCATAGAAGCACTGCAGGTGCATCCAATTGCCATAAGGGCAGAGTTCACTGTTGCACACCACACGCTGGTAGTTGTCCTTCTCAAGGTCAATGGGACGGCCCAGACTGCACACTAATGGGGTGGCACATGGGGTTTCTGCCAAACACAGTGAAGATTATATTAATTTAGGTTTAATGCAATGCAATAGCTCACACAAAAATGAAAATGATTTCATCATTTACTCACCCTCATATCGTTCCAAACCAGTATGCCTTTCTTTATTCGGTGGAAAAGAAAAAGAGATGTTAAAGTGATTCACTTTCATTGTAGGTAAAAAGAAGATGCAATGAAAGTGAATGGTGACTTCGGTTGTTATTTTGCCTAATATCTTCTTTTGTGTCCCAGGGGAAAAAATATGAGCTTGGAACAACATGAGCATGAGGATTTATATTTCTGGGTTCCTATATGTTAAAATATCTGTAATGCAGATTACAATGCCTTATATTATTTTAAAAAATATATATATATATTGTTATTTTACATGGGGTAAATGTTTTGTACGCTAATGTAAAAAATAATGACTGAATTAATAAATCAACCCAAAGAACATTTGAATAAAGCAAACCTTCACCAAATTCATGAACGGACATCTATTTATAGACTGTGTGATTCAATCAGCTTCACTGGCAGTATGTTCAATGTCAGTACATTCAATACAAAACTTCTATTTATGATAACTCTGTGTATTACGCAACACTGCTATGAATGAAGTCTGAATGTGTGTGTGTCTCATGAGAGACAGAGAAAGACAATTATACAACAGAGCTTCATTCCTCAAATTTGATTGGACAGCGCTGCTTTTTCTTTTTTAATTCTGTTTGTTCACTACCTTTCAATCCAGACTATGTAAGTATGGCGTGACAGAACTGTGTCAATGTGTTTTCTCTGCAAGACACCGAAGCAAAGTTGTTTAAATTCGGCTGCAGCAACAAACATGCTTCTGCTTTCTCAATAATCGCTCTGACTGGGTTTCTCTCACAAGTTCAAATGAAAACATGGAGTGGAGTCAGGTGATTAAAGCACATTTAGGAACAGCCCTGTAGCTCAGCTCCATTCATAAAAGCGGTTCCAGTCCAGATTGCAGCATATGCATCACTTAATAACCTGCAAAAAGTTTTCTGAACTATTTTTTGTTCATACAGTTTGCCTAAAACCTATTTGCTATCTGTCAATAAATAGCCTAGTAATAAACAATAATACAATAAACATCATGCTGTAGTACTGAATATAAAGGGGCAGTGATATTCAACAGTAAATATTTCATTATTCATAACTGCCACTCAAAGATAGATACCACTTCCATTCTCTCAAGAGCCAACGCGATTCTATGCATTTTAAACACTCTTAACTGCACATCATTAGGGTGATATGACCTGCCATTACACAACATGTACACAACACTGATCCCCTAAGTTGCATGCAACTCTATTCCAAGTGCATCTTCCCTTGAACAAGGCCTAAGCAACCACCTTGAGCAGGACGATAAGTGAACCCACGGAAAGCTCCAGGCAATGTCCTAACAATTCTGATGGTGATGACACGCGCACAAAACAAGTTGCTGCAAGCGAGGGAACATTAACGTTCAGAGAAACGTACCATTTGGTAGAACATTCACTGAAGTGGCGTTCTTACCACTTCTATTGTCGCTCGGCGGACCCGCTGTCGCTCCAATCAACACCGTGGCAGTTCCTCCTGTAACCGCAGACGCAGAGGCTCCATTTTCTTGCTCGTCCCCGCTACTGTTCGTGCGTTTATTTCTCTTCCCCTTGTTGCTTTTTTGGTTGGGCATAATGGTGTGCTCAGTATGAATGCAGCCTGTCAGCGACCGCCGCCGAGCATTTCTGCGGATATCATGTCGAGGGTGCTCGGCGAATTGTAATGCACGGGGGATGCAGATGTTACCGTTCGAACATCATCATCCTCCAGATGTGTGCAGGCAATCTTGACAGCAGAGGTCCACCATGAAGAAGGCGAGCCCCTCTCTTGTTTTGATTCCTGCTCTGAAGAGAGAATGCTCCTCTGGCCCCGCCTCCATCTCTGATCCAGACCTCGAGCTCAGTTATTAATAGCACAGACCTAAGAGGGAGTCCCGAGCAAATAATCGACACACTGCTAAAATTATTAAAGTCATAAATGCTTTGCCACATATGGCTTTCCAAGTGATAAACATGCTTTTTGAGTGATTATCTAACGAGATAAAACCTTATGTTTGCTGTTCGACATGATATTCTTAAAAACCAAGGGTCTAATTAAAACTTTAAATAGTTTTTCCAGCTAAATTTCATTGGAGAACATTTTTAGATTAGAGAACCATGTGCTTTAAAGAACCCAGAAATGGTTCTTCACAGCTGTATCACCTGGAACCTTGTAAGGTATACTACAGAAGGACTCTATCCAGTCACTTTAGGTGCAAATGCCTTTCAAAAATGTCAAATCAAATCTCTAAATGTCCATTTTAACTATAGGCTCATCGATTCAAAGATAAAAAGTCAGAAATGTGAAACACAAGTCTTAACTCCAGTTCATGCATTTATATGACAGAGTTTATTGCACTTTAAAATAAACCGTCTCCAGCCATTTGAGAAGCAGATGAACCATCAGAAGACTAAGGCAGTAACATAGAAATCCAAATACACACTAAGGTTAAAGTCAGTTTTAAATGTTCACACATTTATCATTAAAAAAGAAAATCAATTTTTTCCCCCCCCCAAGTTTATTGTGCAGTCATTCTGGCATAATCCTCATAATGACCGAGTAGAAATGTATAAACACACTCCCCTCTATTTAATTTATTTATTTCCTATTGCTAGTCATGCTAAGGTCTTCCTGAGCTTGAAATGACACAAACTGCACCATTGGGAGTCCTATAACATTATACATAAATAACAAGAACAGCACAAGCGCAATGTGGAGATGTTTTTGTAAGAGCTTTATAAAGCAGAATATCACACTGAGCAGTTCTGATGATTTGTTGAACTTGGTTGTTTTTTTTAAACATTTAATTCCAGAAAATCATACAGCAGACAAATGCTACCGTTTATGTTTCTCAGCATTTGAGATCAAATGGCACAGATAACTTCAACGACTATGCCTGAAATTAATCATCTCACAGTAATGGCACTGCAGAGAAACAACCTCATGATTACAGCAATTATGCAGTCTACAATCAGAGTAGGACATCAGAGGTACAGTACAATCTGTAAAATTGATATTAACCCGTGTGGATATTCATTTCAAATAGGTTGAAAACAATGTTTGATGAATTTATTCAGTTCCAGAAAACCAGTAACATGATCATGCACACTTATAACTGTTATGATATTTTAATGATATGGCTGTTGAGGTGTTTGAACAGGGAAGATTGCTACTTTTCAAAAACTTTGTGCAGATCCCTCCCCTGAGAGGGAGAGAAAGTTGCTGTATAAAAATATTCCAATCCAGTAAACAAAAACATTCTCAAGTATATTTCCATTTCAAAATGTAGCAATGACATGTCAAAAACACATTTGCACTTTTTACTTGAGTTTAGAGAAGACTGTTCAATTCAGTCCTGCAGTAATATGACATCAACGTTGTCGTGAACTCCTTGCAGTAAGAGCTCTCCTTCGAACGCGATGAGCTTCTTTCGCTTGGCCGCTTTCAGCGTTCCGACCAGAGCTTCAAAGAGGTTGGCGCACTGGTCATCATTAAACAAGACTCCAAATTTGACGCTGATCTTCCCATCTGCATCTGTGAGACAGTATTTAATTCCAGAAAATCATACAGCAGACAAATGCTACCGTTTATGTTTCTCAGCATTTGAGATCAAATGGCACAGATAACTTCAACGACTATGCCTGAAATTAATCATCTCACAGTAATGGCACTGCAGAGAAACAACCTCATGATTACAGCAATTATGCAGTCTACAATCAGAGTAGGGCATCAGAGGTACAGTACAATCTGTAAAATTGATATTAACCCGTGTGGATATTCATTTCAAATAGGTTGAAAACAATGTTTGATGAATTTATTCAGTTCCAGAAAACCAGTAACATGATCATGCACACTTATAACTGTTATGATATTTTAATATGGCGGCTGTTGAGGTGTTTGAACAGGGAAGATTGCTACTTTTCAAAAACTTTGTGCAGATCCCTCCCCTGAGAGAGAGAAAGTTGCTGTATAAAAATATTCCAATCCAGTATACAAAAACATTCTCAAGTATATTTCCATTTCAAAATGTAGCAATGACATATCAAAAACACATTTGCACTTTTTACTTGAGTTTAGAGAAGACTGTTCAATTCAGTCCTGCAGTAATATGACATCAACGTTGTCGTGAACTCCTTGCAGTAAGAGCTCTCCTTCGAACACGATGAGCTTCTTTCGCTTGGCCGCTTTCAGCGTTCCGACCAGAGCTTCAAAGAGGTTGGCGCACTGGTCATCATTAAACAAGACTCCAAATTTGACGCTGATCTTCCCATCTGCATCTGTGAGACAGTGAGAGTGGTCAGGGCTCACTCTAAACCATTCATTAACAACCCTGAACGCATCCAATTAACATTGGTGTACTTAAAGCACTAAAACAACATAGAATCAGTGTTAGCAAATCTCAAAAGATCTCAGAGAGCCAAATAACACAATGATATACAAATGGCATTTGTATGTCAACTAATAGAAACTAAATGACTAAAGACTGGAGTTATGACTGCTGAAAATTCAGCTTTGCCATCGCAGGAATAAATTACAGTTTAAAATATATTAAACTAGAAAACGGTTATTTTAAATGCGAATAATTTTTACAATAATTTGATCAAAGAAATGCAGCCTTGGTGAGAATAAAATACTTTCAAAAACATTGAAAAAAAAAAATCTTAGTGTATAAGATGCTCTTTGACATGAATAGAAAAGCAGATCATACCATATAATTTTCGATTCAACATTTCACATTTTAATATCATAATTTGGAATAGGGAAAACAGGTAAAAAGAAGCATTTTCACTCGTGGGCTCAGACTTTATCCCTTAACAATGATGTTGATCAAAAACAGCACAAGACTTACTTTTACTGCCCAATCGACGAATCTCATCAACGAGCAGTGTAACTTCATGTTCCACATTCATTTTTTTGTCACTGAAAGTATACATGCATGTTAATATTTTAACTTAGTCTATTTTACTGTATTCAGTCATTGAAAGACTTTAGACCAGGGCTGTCCAAACTCGGTCCTGGAGGGCCGGTGTCCTGCAGAGTTTAGCTCCAACTTGCCTCAACACACCTGACTGGAAGTTTCTAGTATGCCTAGTAAGAGCTTGATTAGCTGGTTCAGGTGTGTTTAATTAGAGTTGGAGCTAAACTCTGCAGGACACTGGCCCTCCAGGACCGAGGTTGGACAGCCCTGCTTTAGGATATACTGAGATTCCTACACTCTAAAAAATGCTGGGTTGTTTCAACCCAACAACGCGATGAGCTTCTTTCGCTTGGCCGCTTTCAGCGTTCCGACCAGAGCTTCAAAGAGGTTGGCGCACTGGTCATCATTAAACAAGACTCCAAATTTGACGCTGATCTTCCCATCTGCATCTGTGAGACAGTGAGAGTGGTCAGGGCTCACTCTAAACCATTCATTAACAACCCTGAACGCATCCAATTAACATTGGTGTACTTAAAGCACTAAAACAACATAGAATCAGTGTTAGCAAATCTCAGAAGATCTCAGAGAGCCAAATAACACAATGATATACAAATGGCATTTGTATGTCAACTAATAGAAACTAAATGACTAAAGACTGGAGTTATGACTGCTGAAAATTCAGCTTTGCCATCGCAGGAATAAATTAGTTTAAAATATATTAAACTAGAAAACGGTTATTTTAAATGTGAATAATTTTTACAATAATTTGATCAAAGAAATGCAGCCTTGGTGAGAATAAAATACTTTCAAAGATCTCAGAGAGCCAAATAACACAATGATATACAAATGGCATTTGTATGTCAACTAATAGAAACTAAATGACTAAAGACTGGAGTTATGACTGCTGAAAATTCAGCTTTGCCATCGCAGGAATAAATTACAGTTTAAAATATATTAAACTAGAAAACGGTTATTTTAAATGCGAATAATTTTTACAATAATTTGATCAAAGAAATGCAGCCTTGGTGAGAATAAAATACTTTCAAAAACATTGAAAAAAAAAAATCTTAGTGTATAAGATGCTCTTTGACATGAATAGAAAAGCAGATCATACCATATAATTTTCGATTCAACATTTCACATTTTAATATCATAATTTGGAATAGGGAAAACAGGTAAAAAGAAGCATTTTCACTCGTGGGCTCAGACTTTATCCCTTAACAATGATGTTGATCAAAAACAGCACAAGACTTACTTTTACTGCCCAATCGACGAATCTCATCAACGAGCAGTGTAACTTCATGTTCCACATTCATTTTTTTGTCACTGAAAGTATACATGCATGTTAATATTTTAACTTAGTCTATTTTACTGTATTCAGTCATTGAAAGACTTTAGACCAGGGCTGTCCAAACTCGGTCCTGGAGGGCCGGTGTCCTGCAGAGTTTAGCTCCAACTTGCCTCAACACACCTGACTGGAAGTTTCTAGTATGCCTAGTAAGAGCTTGATTAGCTGGTTCAGGTGTGTTTAATTAGAGTTGGAGCTAAACTCTGCAGGACACTGGCCCTCCAGGACCGAGGTTGGACAGCCCTGCTTTAGGATATACTGAGATTCCTACACTCTAAAAAATGCTGGGTTGTTTCAACCCAACATTGGGTCAAATATGGACTAACCATATGCTGGGTTAAATTTTTACATCAAATTTTTAACCCAAAAGTTGGGTTAGTCTATATTTGACCCAAAGTTGGGTTGAAACAACCCAGCATTTTTTAGAGTGTATAGTCCAGGGTTCCTCAAATCTTGCCCTGGAGGGCCAATGCGCTGCAGAGTTTAGCTCCAACCCTGATCAAACTCACCTACCTGTGATTTTCTAATGATCCTGAAGACATTGATTAGCTTGCTCAGGTGTGTTTGATTAGGGTTAGAGCTAAACTCTGCAGGATAGTGGCTATCGTGGGCCAGATTTGAGGAGCTCTGCTATAGTCTATCTTTGGGACATGCAATGCTGATTAAGGTTTGAATATGTAAACATTTTACTCAAAAACTGCAACTGGAATATTAAATAATATTTCGTTTAAAGCGTCCTAAGCATTCATACGTGGATTACAACAGTTAACACGTGCTGAATAATAAATAGCTAAACTGATTTAGATATTCATTCTTTACACGCTTCATTTAGCGCCCTCTCTGGATGAGTTGGGAATTGCAACGCCGCACCCCACCGGCTTATTGCAGGCTGACCATATAAAGATTATACTTACTTACTTATCTTGAATTTTGATTGAGAAAATAATACGTGTGGCCATACCGTTTGTTAAACATAATGAGGCATAATTAGTAAAAGTCTGCACGGCTTTCATGGAGCACGAGGATTATCATTTGATCAAGCAACGCGGAAGTACTAATCTGAACACTGAAAGTGAAAGAAATGTGTGAAAAATGGCATTGAAGCCCATTGTGAATCACACATAATTTGAATTCTATCACCACACAGATTGAATTCCATAAAGTATGTACAAACAAACAAACACTTTTGTGCGTAAATCCATTCACACCGCATCAAATAGGCTTGCATACAGATTCTGGATTATTAAACCATAACTCCACTGGGGGGAAAAAAAACATGTATTCGGATAAATAATTAATTAACATCAAAAACATTACAAAGCAGATATAAGTTCAGCATACTTACCTTTGTGGTGGTTTCGTGGCGCCGCTCTGCTGACTATAGGCTGATTGCAATGAGAGAGCACTACCATAGATGGCTTTGTGTGTGTGACGTCACGTTAAACTTCCCTCTTCAGATTAAAACTAATTACAAAGTCATTTGTTAACCTAAAGTGAATTTGTGGATACATTTGTAATGGCAGAGGCCCTAGTACTATGCCGCTGAGTGATGAGCAGTGTTGGGGAAAGTTACTTTTAAAAGTAATGCATTACAATATTGCGTTACTCCATAAAAAAGTAACTAATTACGTTACTTAGTTACTTTTTATGGACCGTAATGTTTTACGTTACTTTTGCGTTACTTTTAAAATCTGGACAGGGCTTGTTTGTTTGTTTTTAAAATAAAAAAGTTATATTTTTGGCAAATATAAAAGCCTTTTCACACCAAAGGGACAGGAGACCTGTCAATCAATACATTGGAAAAAAAGTAACTTGTGTTACTTATTTGAAAAAGTAACTCAGATATTCTCTTGTAAATTAAAAAGTAATGCGTTACTTTACTAGTTACTTGAAAAAAGTAATCTGATTACGTAACTCGCGTTACTTGTAATGAGTTACCCCCAACACTGGTGATGACATATCTAAAAAAAAATGATAATTTATAAGAGTTTCTGGACGATTGATGCTACATGTGTAAAAGATACTGACATTAAAAGTAGACATCACAGATTAAACAGCTGCTTTAATCAACATCTGTAATTCTAATAATGTAGGCCTAACTCTTTGTTCTATAACTTTTGACAATTAAAATAAACTATAACCTATGCAAATTGTATTAAAATTGTATTATTATACGTTTGTTGAGTAAATAATACAAGTAATACTAATTAATTATTTTAACATAATCGATATTTACTGCAACATTCCATGAAAATGCTGTCATCCATAAATGTTGGAACTATATATGAAATTTCATTTGCAAGACACCAGATGGCAGTAAACAGCAATTTATTATTGATTACTGCTATTTTTTTTTTATCAATGCTCAAAAACAGCAATACAAATATCAACAAATAAAAATGATAGACAATAGAAAAAGACAAAGAAAAGGGGGGTGTTTTATACATTGCAAACTGAAAATAAACAATTTGAGACATTTCAGATCAAGCATTTCTTAGACAATTGGAGCAGGTATTGCTCAAATTCTCTCATGAAAACAAAAAAAGAGAGGTCTGGAGTTTGAATATGTGCATCTGTGAATGTGGAATTTTGCAAGCAGCAAAATCAGATTCACTACATAAAACTATTTTTCTGATTACTGCTATTACGGTGATGTTTGGTTTGCAGCCATCAAGCTAACTAAATTATTTTTGTGTATTGGACAATTCAACGTTAATATAATATTGATGTTTAGGCCTATATATGAAATTGGGAAAATAGATAGATAGATAGATAGATAGATAGATAGATAGATAGATAGATAGATAGATAGATAGATAGATAGATAGATAGATAGAATGCGAATGTGCTCTTTCTAGCTATTTAAAAATTATTTATCATGCCGCCGAAAAGCGCGTGCGCACGAAACGGACGGTCTTAGGCAAGTTTAGTTAGTTTGTCGACGCCCCTTTGAAATGTGGGAAATGTGGTTTTTGGTGCCTGACGCTTCTTTTGTAGTCTACAACGTATTACGTAAGGGGGTCGATAACTACACCGACCAACCGGCATGGCTTTAAAAACACGGCTTCGCCTCTTATTAAAGGTCGTAGTCCAGTGTTATACAGTGTAAACACTTGAGCATACACTCCAGGGCTCCTGGTTCTTTTGGGAAATCGTTTTAGAATTACATTCATAAATACTCTTTTCAGTGGGAATCAGAGGACACCTGCAATGTCTCCAGTACAAGAAAATTTGCGGTGGCCCCGAGTATCAAAGTTCACTCTGTCAGCATGTGCTGCAACTGTTGCAGAATTAGGTAGCTACATCTTTCTAGCTTTTAAAAGAATACATTTAATTTTTAAAAAACGTTTCATATAAATCAATATCTACAATACAGTATATTTTAACAATAATTTGAGTGTACTTCTGTGTGTGTGTGTGTTTATACAATTTTTATTTTAGTCACATTTCCTCTGGACCTTACCAAAACCAGACTTCAGATACAGGGTGAAGGCGGTTCCCAACAGCATGGTGGAAATGTACAGCCTCCAAAATACAGGGGCATGCTGAGCACAGCTCTGGGTATAGTGCGAGAAGAGGGACCCTTGAAATTGTGGCAAGGGGTCACACCAGCTATCTACAGACATATAGGTAAAATGTTAATTGCAATGAGCATTACTAACAAACTGTGTTGTATGCATGTACAGAATAAAATCTTAATGCACTTGTCTGAATAATTCAATGCATGTATTTGAATCCCCTTCTGACCTTTGGAATTCTTCACTTTTAGTGTATTCAGGCGGCAGGATGTTAGCTTATGAACAGCTCAGGGAATCGGTCTTGGGAAGATCTGAAGATGGCGTTTTTCCAGTTTGGTGAGGGAAACATCTGTGAAATATGAAACAGGACAGTGATTAACGTCTAAATAGATGGGATCAGCATATGTTCTGTGATGTGTATAGGAAAGCAGTGATCGGCAGTATGATATCAGGTGCCTTGGGCCAGTTCATCGCTAGTCCAACAGATCTAGTGAAGGTTCAGATGCAAATGGAGGGCAGGCGCCGTCTAGAAGGGAAGCAGCCAAGGTGAGACATAGGCTAAAAGGAATAGTTCACCCTAAAATTTAAATTAGCTGAAAATGTTCTCACCCTCAGGCCGTCCAAGATGTAGAAGAGTTTGTTTCTTCATCTGAAGAGATTTGGAGAAATTCAGCATTACATCACTTGCTCACCAATGGAGTGAATGGGTGCCGTCAGAATGAGAGCTGATAAAAACGTCATAGTAATCCACACAACTCAAGTCAATCTATGAACATCTTGTTAGTGAAAAGCTGCGTTTATAAGAAACAAATACATCATCAAGTCTATAATCCATAATAACAATTCCTCAGATGAAAAGGTCCATCCCCTGTTGTCCTATTACATCAAAATCTACTGAAATATTTGTTTAGCGATGTTCACAGGAGAAAGCAATATTATGGATAGAGGACTCATAGCGATGGTTTGAAGTTAAAAACGTCTTAATGATGAACTTGTTTATTACAAACATGCAGCTTGTGGTTTACTTACATAAATTGTGGATTTTTCTGGACTCTCCTTCTGACGGCACCCATTCACTGCAGAGGATCTATTGGTGAGCAAGTGATGAAATGGTAAAATTCTCCAAATCTGTTCTGATAAAGAAACAAACTCATCTACATCTTGGATGATCTGAGGGCGAGTAAATGTTTGGGTGAACGATTCCCTTAATTCATCCGTTTTTTAAAACTGACAGAGTACATGGGGTTTACCACGCATTTACGAAGATCGTAGCAGAGGGAGGAATACGAGGCCTTTGGGCTGGATGGGTTCCCAACGTTCAGAGAGCTGCACTGGTCAATTTAGGAGGTACAGTAGCCAAGACTTCTAGTTGTCAGCTGCCCTTTTGTTATACGTCAAATATTTTTCATTTTATTTCACATTTAGATCTCATGACATACGATACCGTAAAGCATTTTCTACTGAGGAACACCTCCATACCAGACAACAGCATTTGTCATGGATTGGCCAGGTGAAATTTTGCTATTCTACTAATGTTGCCACACATAATAATGTCACGTTCAACAGTTTGTTCCAAAACACTTTTACAGCATATGCTCAGGATTGGTTGCAGCTATTATGGGAACACCAGCTGATGTGGTGAAAACTAGAGTAATGAACCAGCCACGGGATTCAAATGGGAGGTTAGTTTCGTGTATCTTTCAAAGCTGATGTGTATTTAAGACAATTATTTAGTTTGTTATAATAACATATTTTTATGATTCTGTTTGTAGGGGTCTGCTCTACAAGTCATCTACTGACTGTCTGGTTCAGTCGGTGAGAAAAGAAGGATTTTTTTCCCTCTATAAAGGATTTCTACCGACTTGGTTTAGAATGGTACTATGACTTTAAATATGACATGAGTTTATTTAAGTTTTATTGCTTGTGCTCCTATTCGAACTCCGTTTTTGTTCCCAGGCTCCCTGGTCTTTGACTTTCTGGCTTACATTTGAGCAAATGAGACGAGCAATGGGCATCAGCTCATTTTGACGATTTTAAGAGTTGGACCTACTTTGTCCCTATAAAGTTTTTTGAGCTGAACATTCCAGTCCTCTTTTTTTTTTTTAGGTGTGAATTTAGTTGTATCCAGGTACACACTGCAGGTTAAGTTGTTTGATCACTAAATAAAATAGCACAGCAATCATTTATTTTAAAAAAATATGATTTTCACACATTTTTATGGTTTTAGTTTTACTTAGGTGTGAATTTAGTTGTATCCAGGTACACACTGCAGGTTAAGTTGTTTGATCACTAAATAAAATAGCACAGCAATCATTTATTTAAAAAAAATATGATTTTCACACATTTTTATGGTTTTAGTTTTACTTAACTATAATAAACCTGGATCTAATCAGTTGAAAAGTGGTCAAAACCGCTCTAAATCTAGTCAAAAGACCAGCCTTGGCAACCGACTAAGACCAGAAAACCTTTGGCTTGTTTAGATGTTCTTCTGCAGGGAAGGCTGTGCTATGTGAACAAAGATTTATTCAAATATACGGTGTAAATATTTTGTGAGCAGCAAACTTTCTAATAAACCTGTCAAGAGAACAACGAATAGAGCAGTTTTTCTTACTACAGAGAAAAAAAGTTTGTGTATACAAAACATCTTATATTACATAAAAGACTAAATTAATCTTTATTTGATGTCAGAATATTTCAGAAAACCTAGTGAGATAAAGGTAAAACATCTTTATTGTTCTATGCTTTTAGAGTCCTCAAACAACCACTAGAGAGCATCCAGTCAAAAAAAATGTCGCAGAAAGGAAATGCACCCGGAACGTAAACATGAACCCGCTGGCTGTGTCATTTCCGCTCTGGCTATTTTCCCATTCAATAAAATGACAATGCCGAGTAGTGGCTCCTCTCGGCGTTTAGTCCAGTATGTCATCGTGCGATCAGACCTGATACACACTTTGTCGTGGCCTTTAGGGGCGGTTATAACTCAAGCCTGTCACGCGGCCACTGCTGCCATTCATTTACACTACAGTGACCCTGATACTCAGGAATATCTGGCAGAACTGGACAGCATGCACAAAGTAGTGCTGCAGGTGAGTACTGCAATTACATCACATGCACCATGCGATTCTGTCCCTACAGTGCTGGATAGGATGGGTAGCATTATATAGTAATCTTTGATCTTTCTAATTGTTAACAAATACTAATAAAGCCATTAGCTGACTCACAAGTGACAAATTAGTAATTTATTTTCATTAAATAAATATGCATGTACTCTTTTTATAGTTTTAAGCTTTAGTATTATTTTCCCCCACAGGCACCAGATGAGGCATCTCTCTCTGCTCTTTCCAGTACTCTCCTAGAAAAAGACATTGCACATAAACTATGGATGGAGCAGCCAGAGAATATCCCCACATGTCTGGCATTGAAGCCCTACCCTAAAGAGACTGTGCAGCCATTTCTAAAAAAGCTCAAGCTTTTCAAATGAATTCTGTATGAACTGTACAATATAAACACAAAGATGGTTCAGAATGGAATGTGGCTAAATGAACCTGCTGGAACAGCCTTACCATCACATCTTTGGTTTTCATCCACATTTTGTCTTGTATCTTTGTGGCGAAATGTTACTCACTGAAGTGGTGTTAGTAATGTAAATTCTTTAATATCTGAAATAAAAACTAAATGTCTTTATTCTGCATTTTGGGTCAGTGTCTACAATGGAATCTGAAATAATCCCAAATGTTTTAAAAATGTACTGATGACTCGTTGTATAATTGAACAAATTAATAGTTTAAACGAAGACTTGTGATTTATGTGCTGGTGGGTTAGTAATTCTGGATTGGTTTGTTAAGGTTCATATGCACGGTGTGAGAGTTAGAATGACTCTTTTGAGCCACTCTTTTTAGAGAATTGAGCTTCAAATGTTTGATTCGAATCAAACTTTTACATCGCAACCAGTGAAGCTCGATTCTCGAACGAATGAGTTTTAAGACCCGGTTCTTTTTAGTGAATCAAAACGTAATATAGTGCAGTGGTTCCCAACCCTGGTCCTGGAGGCACCCCAACACTGCACGTTTTGCATGTCTCCTTAATCAAACACACCTGATTCAGATCATCAGCAGAGACTCCAAGAACTGAAATTGGTGTGTCAGAGAAAGGAGACATGCAAAATGTGCAGTGTTGGGGTGCCTCCAGGACCAGGGTTGGGAACCACTGTATAGTGAACACTGAAGTTCGATTCTCGAGTGAATGACTACGAGTCGGTTCATTTTAGTGAATTACACTTATGACTCAGTTTTACAATTAATCTTATTTATATCATTAATGTCAGACTCAATTAACCAAGAACTGATAATGCGGTATGTTGTTCTTAAGATTAATGAGAACTATCCGACTGGTTGTTCATATGACAAAGTATAGTTTAAAAAAATACACATTAAGTTTTTTGTACTGCATCAAAATAATAGTGAATAACTGTTATTGAACAGTTTAGATTCCATTCCCTAGATATAAAGATGGCACTTGCAGTCCTTTTTTACATGGTGCTTTATTGCAATGTGTTGCATTCTCACATTCATGGATGTTATAGAGATTTGTTAGTCAAAGCATAATTTCCTTCAAGGTATGCATCTACACCTTGGAAAAGCAACAAAGGGGCCATATGTACGAGGTGTGAGTGAGTGTTTCTTGTTTGTCTGAATGTATGTGTATGTGTAAATGTATGCGTGTAAACTTCAAATCTCAGTTTGAGCAGCCACATAATTCCATGAAATGGACAAGAAAAATAAGACCGATTCAGTAGATGCGAAACACAGTTTTGCAGCCCGCAGGACAATCCCGCAGGTGCTGGACCCAGCATGTGACTGATTGTCTACAACGTCCTAAGAAAGGTAGGATTCTCCAGATAAACCTGGACATAGAGAAAACAAAAAAACAAAAACATGACAAAACATGCAGAAGTCTCCCAGATTCATCTTCATTCATTATGTCCCACACAGCTGCAATGATGCCTCTTAAGAAAAAAAAAAGTTCACAAGTATTATACAAAACTGGACAAAATGAGTAAAATGTATATATCTATATATATTTGTTTATTTATATTAATTTTACAGGTGAAAAGTGGAACCTTGCCTTGAAAGAACAAGCGCCGTTTTAGTGGAGCTACAAACACATGACTTCCCTTCACCAATACAACTAATATCTGTATATTAATAAGGCAGCACTTACAATACGCAAAAAATCTCAGGTAAACAGTAGCTACTGTAGATGATACCATGTAGAGATGACATCTGAATGACAAGGAGAGTGTGTGGTGGTCGATACGTAGGATTCACTACTATGATATGAGGAAATGCAGATTGTACAAGTTTGCATAAATGGTTCTTAGCACTTGGCACTGAGCGTGCGGGGCCTGAAACAACTTTCAAAGCCTACGATACAGACCGCGATGAACAAAGCAGAGATCAATGAGGAATGTCTTCAAAAGATAAAGCCAGGAGGTCTGAACGTGAGCGCGCCGACTAAAAGGACAGGGCAAAGGGGAGGTGGAGCACCTGAAGAAGATAGGCATAGTTAGATCTACGGTTCTGCAGCAGAAAAAAACACCCATGTAGCAAAGGCTCCGCTACCCTGCTCTTTTAAGGGATCCAATGATGACAGCCTGACAAGCCAAGTTCTTCCTGAAGAACCTGAGACACGTTTTGATTTTTCGTGGAAAGCAAAATGGCATTTCACTTTGCGAAAATACATTCAGGGGGTATTAATTTTTTGTCTTCCTTTTTTTTCTTCCCAGAACACGATGCTATAGTCCGATTTAAACATGGCCTCTTTCCTTGTAATTCATGTATAAAGTGCAAAATTAGATTGTATTCCTTGCAAGTTCCTGGTACATTTAGGTTTTTTGTAAAAAAAACTTCATGTAAAATACAGCAAAAGTCTTACAAAGGTCAGTATAAGAAAATCTCCATAAACAAGAAAACGTTCATCAAACGGTGAGGAGCAGTCCTCTATGCTGAAAATATGTACAAGAGGCACCTCAAATTTGGTATAAAGAATCCAGCTAAATAAAGTCGAATATCTAAGTATAGTTGCATCAGTATGGTTTTCTCGTTTTTTTGCCCGAGTAGCTTGAAACCACTTGTTTCGAACTACAAATAATGTATATCCTTGAGTTAAAAAAACAAAATAGAGGAAAAACAGGAGATATTTGTTAGCATGCAATGCTAGAATACTGCATTCAAAGCAATAATCCGTTTTGAGTTGTCAGTTTTAAAACAAAAGCCAAATGCTTTTCATTTAACCTCTAAAGGTGCATAGCTAGCGGTTAGAAATCTGTCTTCCTGAAAACAGTGACTACAGTTCCTCCCGAAGAGGCATTTGCATGTTTGGTAGCTCAGTAGCAACGGGGGAACATCTGAAGAAACTCGCTACTGTACGTCTTTGAAAGTAATCAAACCAGCTAGGGGAATATATCCAGAAAGTAAAGACAAAATGGTAGTGTTATAAACATGAAAAACTAAAAGCTACATTTTCCAATTGCATGAACCTTGCATATGATATGGATCTTTTAGTATCTTGAAGCTTTGGTCAAATATCCGTTCTTGTCTTAAGTGTTTACACATGGCAAAAACTACATCAGGCAGTCGACGAAACCCCACTACAATAAGCCAGTGCTGTTCTCAAACCAAGGTTCCACTTTGTCAGAGCTGTTTAAACTTTGACAACAGAGAAATTAAATAATATGGCCTTTTTTTTTTTTTTATTAACCCGTACAAAAGCCAGTCCATGCTGCTTCTCCCTCAGCAAAGTCACATTCAGCAGTCGCTAAATCATTCTCACATATAGAGCAATCTCAACACCCACAGGAAAAATTGCAGGTATTCCAAAAATAAAAAAAATAAAATAAAAATACATTGAAAGAAAATCAAAATCTGGACATTTGTCTGTTTTTCCATTTTAAACACCAGATATACAGTATTAATCACACACACACACACACTTTCAGACAGCCATACACGTCAAAAAAAAAAAAGGGAAAAAAAAGTTAAGAATGGAAGCAAGTAGTTATTACCACAAACTCGGAGCACTACATTTTGTTGATTCTGAACAGATACATATTCACATTTATCTGTTATATACACAATACTTTGATAATCCAGGTTCTGAATAGTTCTATTGTACCTTGATGTTGTGTACTGACTGTGAGAGCCATTATAAACCAGAAAACAAAACAATAAAAACAGTATTAATAGGTGCTGTTTGCTAGTTTGGTATATTTGGCATAAACACGGTCATGATGACAGGTAGGGTTCATTAAATGACTCTTATCCACTGCATAAAAAACATTTTTATCTATACAGGAATGCCTATTCCCCAAAGAGGAGGGCAGAATTGATTAATTACGACATCTGTGTTTTTTTCGGTGAGCCAAAAATGGGAAAAAACACAGACTGACTTAAATGACTTAAATGTTATGTATGCATCAATTCATTTCGCTTTTTTTATTGTCTATGTACATTTATATATAGCAGAAAGTGGCTTGATCTCAACAGTACATACTGCCGGCTGAATTTCGTAGACGAATGAGAATCTGCTTTACAAAATTAGACATTTTTATATAGCGTCATGAACAAAAGAACACTGTTAAAGGAGAATGAAAATATGTGAGAGGAGAGACGGTCACGCATGCAACACGATTTCGAGCTGTGCTCCAATTATGTCGCACGATTTGTGAAATACCTCGTGCTCACACGGTGAGACATCAATTTCGACCACAGCAAGTCTTTTTGTTTTGATATCTTTGATTAAAAAAATAATTTGGTTTTCAATTAGTACGTTTCACGTAAACTAGCGAATGTTTAGGCTCGAAATCAATCGGGGATGACTAGTAGGTAAATGAACAAAGGATAACGCTGATGAACAGTGTCTGACTGAGCAACAGTAGTCTCATGAGCAGTCAAAGAGCTGGAGAATGCAGCCGACGGTGTGTGAAACAACACCTCGCTCCTCCAGTCAGGAAGGAGCTCCTGTGGTTTTGAAGAGCATCCTTAAAAAACACTCAACTGTATAATGAAAATCAATGTACAATGTACATTTTCGCACCTGCGTGCAATGCAACAGAGGGTTTTTGTAACATTTACCGGGGTGTTCGATAACCAATATCAATCGTAAAAATTCGAGTCTCTTGAGCGCGCGAGACCCCCCTGGATGATTACTTTTTAAATAACAAAGTGACATTACAGATTCTCAAAGTCGTTAAAAAGGAACTGGAGTTAAGCTGATACGCGTTCGAAACAAGAATTGCCTGTAATTTGATGAGGTTTCATTTTTAAAGGAAATTACAAAGTGTGAGCTTGTCCCAACTTTGTCCGTTTGTGCTGTACAATAATACCAACCTGCACAACACGTCGCCGCAAACAACACTGATAGGCTGAGTTGACCCTAAGTGGCTCGTATTCACAGCTGCTGAGGGGGGAAATGTGTAGGACATTGTTAAAAAAATGTCTGCTGTTTCAAAACAGTGCTGCCAGGAAAGCTTGCGGCAGACGGATACGCACTACAGAGCAGTCTCCCATCCTGGCGATGCTTGTTCTGAAAACGACAACAGAGAAAAACAAACAAACCAAAATAAAAAAATGACAACAAACAAAACAGAATAACAAATAAAAAGAGGTGGGAAATTCCTCCCATCATCAGGCACTGCTGAGGAGAGCCTATCAGTCACAGATCCAGCTGAAACTGAGCAATATACCATGAATATAGCAACACCATGACAACAGCCAGCCCCAGTTTCCATTTCGACCAATCCAAGCTCAGCTGCTGCGCTGCTCTCCAAGAAGCACTGCAACGTTGGCCTGACCGACAGGACGTGCAGCCGGCTGAAGCAGCAGGTCCATTTTTTTATTTTTTTTACAGACTTGGCAAATTCTGGAACGTGATATTTTCTCCTTTCCGGAAACAGACGTTTAAAAAGGTGATCAGGAATGAGCACTTTGTCGAACGGCTATGAAACCTCACAAGCCTGGGCCCAGACACCGACCCTGCAGATATACTGTATAGAAACCAAAGGTGAAGAATAAAAATCTCTACATGTGGAGACAGTCCTCTGCCAGACGGTGGGCGACTCACTCGGTCAGGAGCTGCTGGAGGAGGCTCTTCTGCTGAGACTGGGCTGTGGGGGTCCCGCTCGGGCCTTTCTGGGACCCGATGGGCCCAGACTGGTTAAGGTAGGAGTCACTTCCCACCAGGTTTACCGTGCACTGGACATCAGCGAACACCTGAACCTGCTGTACCTGAGAAATGGGAATGAATGGAAAAAAGAAAAGACCGTCATGTATGATTTTTTTTTTTTTTAAGAAATTAATACTTTTATCCAGCAATAATGCATTAAATTGAACAAAATGACAGTTAACATTTAGAATATTACAAAAGATTACAAAAAAAAAAAGAAGCTGTCTTTTTAACTTTCTAGTCATCAAAGGATCCTGAAAAAAAATGTGTCACTGTTTTCACAAAAAATATTAAGCAGCACAACCGTTTCTAACATTGATGATAATAATAAGAAATGTTTTTTGAGCACCAAATCAGCATATTAAGAGTGATTTCTGAAGGATCATGTGACACTGAATGCAGAGGTAGGGGTGTTCCCAGGCACGGCGTTATAGCCTGGAGAAAAACCGAACTGCTGCTGCTGTGGTGGCTGTTGCTGCTGGGGGCCCTTAGGAACTCGCTGAGCCCCCAGAGGTCCTGTGTTCATCCCCTGCCTCATCAGCAATACCTTCTGCTGCATAAGCTGCCGCTGGCGGTGCTGGAAACTATAAAGCTCCCGCTGCCGCTGGGCCATCATTTGAGCGTTGAGTGGAGGCTGTGAGAGAGAAGACGGGATTTCAGTTTCATTGACAGACACATACAGAAAAACAAACAATGATTGTGAAAGTAAAAATGCACAGACGCATCAATGACAATGAAAATGTTTTCTGTACAACTACAAAAATTATAATAATATTAATAGGAATAATTTTAGATTTTCATAAAAAAATGCATTGATCTTGTAAATCTATATATAATATAAAAAATACTAGTAGTATTATTTTTCTACACATGTTCCAAAGCTCAGCTTTTGTATTATTACATAAATATATGTTTGAAAAATTATACATTTAATAAATAAATCTGCATAATAATTTAATTAAAAACTAATAAAAATAATATATTATCATATTTATAATAATAATAATAATGATGATGATGATGATGTGTATAATTTAATTTATTACAAATATATCAACAAACAATATCAAAAAAGACGCATTAATATTTTTCTATCCATTTTACCTATTATGTTCCTCTCTCTCTCTATATATATATATACACACACACACACGCGCGCACACATATAAAATAATGTATTAATAAATAATACTAGCTTATTTACAATAATAGTAGTAGTAGTAATAATATAATTTAGAATTTGATAAAAATATAAAAAATATAAAAGTATAAACTATATATAATAAAAATTTTACATGTAAACATATGTATAATTTAGCTTTGAATAAAATAAAACAAGAAAAACAAACAAACAATAAGCAATGATTGCATCGTCAGTATATATATATATATATATATATATATATATATATATATA